TTAACCTCAGAGCCATCTCTCCAGCCCATGATGTGCTTTTCTATGGAGATATATTTATAAGTAAAGAGTTTTGTTACATAGTGAGACCTGCTTCCAAAATCCCCAATCAGTCAACAGATGAAAAAGCCTTTATCTTAGCAAAGCTGTTAAGGTCTTTTTTTGTACATATGTATCATTGTAGATCTAGGGTTGGAACCTAGAACCTTGTACTTGCTGGATTGTTGTTCTGTCATTGAATTTAATTATTAATGAAGTTTTTAAAATATTTTTATGTATATGTATGGTCTGTGTGTACACACACTAGAAAAGGGAATCAAGCCGCTTTACAGATGGTTGTGAAGCACCATGTAGTTCCTGAATGAACTTAGGGTCTCTGGAAGGGTAGCTAATGCTTTTAACTGATGAGCCATCTCATCAGGCACTTCTTTTTGTTTTTTTGAGATGGGCTTTCTCTGTGTAGCCTTGGCTATGCTGTCAACTAGCTCTGGGATCAGGCTGGCCTCAAAGGCATGCGCCATCACTTGCTGGCCTAATGAAGTTATTTTAAACTGTATCATTGCATTAATAGTCCTTCTATTTTGTAGATAGTGTTCAGGCTTTTTTAATTGATCGTATGTTTTTCTCCAGTGTCTTACCTTTTTAAGCAGTCCAGTCATGATTATAAGGTATTTTTGCGCTATTTTTGTTTTTTTGAGATAATGTTTCTTATAGTATAGGCTGGTCTTGAACACTCTTTGTAGCTGAGGTTGACTTTAAACTGATCCTCCTGTTTCTTCCACTTCCTAAGTATTGGGATTATAGGTACGTGCCACCAAACTCCACTTAAGCACTCTACATAGTGTAGAACAATATATTTCTGTATAATAGACATATACATTATCTGCTGCTCAGCATCTTTCTACCTGTATGCCTAAATGCTATATTGAGGCCTTGGATTCTAGAATAATAGATCAGGTAGTATAGTCATCAGATTTTTAGCCTTATATGATAAAATGCATATGGAAAGTTAAGCCAGTGAGATGGTTCAACTACTAAAGCACTTGTCACCAAACACAAAATAAGTGATTGTTTAAAAGAGAAGTAACTATCTTTGCATGGTATAGATGCTACAGTATCATTGACTTTTCTTGTTTTGAGGTCATACAGTTATAAAGCATTATACATGCTGCTATCATAGTAATGTATATAAATTTAAGGTACTGATCACAGACTCTAAAGCAGAAAAAAATTGGTTTGCTTGCTGAGATCAAGTATTTAGATTTGAGGTTTCTATGTGAGTCTTGTTTCAGAATATTAGTCCCTTAAGGATTTGTTTTATTTCCTTCTTCAAATTGCTTCAGAACTGTCAGGTATTTAATCTTGGAAATCTAAAATTGCACATAATTTACCCATTGTCTTGTTATCATATTGCTTTTTTCCTGAGGATATATGGATAAATAACAAAATCCTATGTGTGTTGCATGTGTCCCCCTAAACTCCTACCGTTGTACACACCTCAGATCTCACTGTTTAGCCCTGACTGACACAGAAGTACTTTGTAGACTATGCTGGGTTAGAGCTCAAAAAGATCCACCTGCCTCTGAGGCCTCCTAAATACTGGGATTAAAATTCTGGACAACCATACTAGACCTAATCCATATGTTTTATCTTGGTTATATAAACTTTTAGCCTAAAATAAATTTTACTGTGAACTTAATTGTTTTTAACTTCCTCCACGATTTGGAGTTTGTTTATTCTAATTTCTTGTTTCCCCCTTCCCCCAGATTTTTCTAGGACTCCTCATATGCCACCCGATTTCATACTTTTTTCTTGACCTTTTAAAACAAAAAACCAGCTTGGTGTAGTGGTGTGTGACGTTAAATCCCAGTACTGGTCAGTTTGATCTACATAGTAAGTTCCAGGCCAGCCAGGGCTACATAATAAGATCCTGTCTCAGGAAAGAAAACTGTGGAATCTGTTTTGTGTTGGCCAACTATTCCTGAGCATGTGGCCTGCTATTGAGTGAAATTTATATATCCAGTGTCATGCTTTTAAAGAAAACTGACTTTTCCTTCTGTCTGCTATCCATTGCTGATAGCTTGTATGTTGGGAGTAGGACTTTGTGCTTACTTCCCTGTCTCCATATTGGGTTTTGTCTGGTGTGAACTTGTGTGGGTCTTATGCATGCTGTCATAGTCTCTGTGTTCAGATATCTATCAGCCCTCTTATGTCTGGAAGAGGCTGTTTCCTTGGAATCATTTACCACCTCCGGCTCTTAAAATCTTTCTGCCTCCTCTTATGCATAGACCCCTGAGCCATGTTTTTAAAAGTTCCTGAGTTAAGTCAGAATGTGAGTAATGTGAAAGTGTTTGTAATACACGAATCATTTTTTGCTTTTGTTATAATCTGTCTTGTAGGTAGCCTAGATTAGCCTTGAATTTGTCAACTTCCTGCCTCAGCCTCCAGTGTTCTATGATTGCCTTTGCCAATGTGCTGTGTTTTTCCCCCCCTTCTTTGAATCACTGTGTGCGTGCGTGTGTGTGTGTGTGTGTGTGTGTGTGTATGTGTGTATGTGTGTATGTGTATATTGATACCTATGGGTGTTTTCCCTGCTTGTTTGTCTGTATACAACTTGCATGCTTGATGCCTGCAGAGGAGAACAGAAGAGATTGTTGGAGTCCCTGGAACTGAAATTACTGATGGTTGAAAGCTACCATGTGTGTTCTGGGAATTGAACCCAGATTGTAGAAGAGTAGCCAGTGCTTTCAACTGTTGAACCATCTCAGCAGACCAGTTTTTTGTTTATTCTTTGGCTGGTTGTTTTTTGTTTGTTCCTAAGGGGGGTGGGAAGCTACTCATTCTCAGTACTTGGGAGACAGAGTCAGGCAGATCTTTTGAGTTTAAGGCTAACTTTAAATTTCCTGTGTAGCTGCTGATGGCTTTGAGTCCTTCTGCTGCTTCCTTGAGTGTCGTGATTGCAGGCCTGTACCACCAGACAGTCCTGCTTTATGAATCCTAATCCCACTGTATAAGTTTTATTGGTACTCAAGTTATGGTTGTTGCTCTTAGCTTTCTCTTCATATTTCATGTGCTTTCTAACTCTGCTTCTACTTTTACTGCACTTAAATCATTTGTCTTTTACTGATACTCTATTTTGTTTATTTGGTTTTTGTTTTTCATATATATATATATATATATACACACACATATATACACACACACACACAATTTTATGTGCATTGGTGTTTTGCTTGCATCTATCTAAGGTTGTTGGATCCTCGGAATTAGAGTTATAGACGTGTGAATTTCCATATGGGAGCTGGGAATTGAAACTAGATAGGTCTCCTGGAAGAACAACCAGTGCTCTGAACCATCTCTTTGGCCCCTTGGTTTGGTTTTCGTTTTGGTGAGGGAGTTTTTTGTTGTTGTTGTTGTTGTTTGTTTTTTGTTCTTGAGTTTCTCTCTAATAGCCCTAGATGTTCTGGCACAGAATTGCAGGCTTCAGCTTCAGGTGCTGGGAATCAAAGGAGTGTGACAATGCACTGCCTGGCCTGTTGGTTTTTCTGATATAGGGACTCTGTGTAGCTCTGGCTGTCCTGAACTCAGGCTGTAGAACAAGCCCCTCTTGCATTCTTAATACTGTTCTTGAAATGCCATCTCAGCACCCCTGCCCTAGATTGACAGAAGTCATGACTGACATATTCCACTAAGGATAATGGTATCCCCAAATCTGTTAAAAAACAAAACTTAGTTTACTTGCCTCTGATTTCTCTAAAAAAAAAAAAAAAAAAAAAAAAAAATAGAAGTCCTGGGAATATTTTTCAGGTGAGCCTCTTTGTTCTGTTTTCATTTTCAGTCATTACTTGTATAATACTCTGTCTCACTGTAACTCCCCCTTCTATGCAAATACCCAGGGTGTCATCACCATTTAAGACAGCCACACATGTGCATTGTGGTGCACTTCTCATAGACCAGCACACACAAAAAAGACAATCACACTTGTACTGGATTATATGGTTTTTGCATAGGTATGAACAAAATACCCAAGATAAGAAGACCTTTATTTTGGCATATAGTTTAAAAGTGTCAGTCTGTTGGCATGGTAAACATATAATAGTAGTAAACTCCATATTGTGTCAACTAGGAAGTAGAGAAAGGACACATAGGCATGTCCCAGTAATGTCCTCATGATTGTGAATCTGTTCATTAGTTCCAATCTTCATTAGCTTCTTTAGAAATGACATTCTAGAAGTGCCTTTTCCTAGATTCAGGGTTCCTAAAATAGCTTGTTTTTTTGTCTGCTATTTCTTTTTAGTCCTCTGTAATCCTGGTTCTAACTGCAACAAATGTTTATTTTGCTGTTTAAAAATACTAAAAAAGCCTGTTGATATTTGTTTTGTATTATCCTACTCTAAGAGATTTTTTATTAGCTACTTTTTCAGATTAAAAGTTACCAGTAGTTCATGCTTCCTTTTCTTATTTGGGAGCTTCTAACTCCTGTGTGAAAATGGCATGTTAAAATAGTAAATTATATATCTGTAGTGATTTTGTGATTATGTATTTCACTTTTAATTGTAGAATAAAGCAGTGGCTCCACGTCATATATTAGAAAACATGAATTTCTATTGCTTTACTGTATTTGAAAGCCTGGGGCAGTAGCTCAGAGATAGAACAGTTGCCTGATAACTCCTAGCACCATGGGAAAGTATTAAATATTCAACATTGATCCAGCATCCATGTTCAGTATTTTTCTTTTGTAACATGTAATGACGGAAAACCTACTTTATAGCAAAGAACAATAAAGCACTGTGATTATGGGACGTTTCTGTGTTGTAATAGAAGTAGGCATATATTGTTTTGATTGTGACACGTAAGAGGAAAAGTATATCAGGTTCTGAGCCTCAGTAGTTAAGAGAGAAATCAAACATTTATACATTACCCTTCTGTGCTCTTAGGGTATTTTAAGTTCTGTACTGCATTTATTACAGAATGTTAAAATGATAACCTTTTGTTTTATTCAGCTTGTCTGCTCATCTGCAACTTACATTTACCGGATTCTTCCATAAAAATGGTAAGTATTATAATGGAAAAGATGCTGATTCTAAGTCTTTTTGTGTTCGTTTTAAGTTTTTGTTGTTGTGTGTGTGTGTGTGTGTGTTTTTTTTTTTTTCCCAGTTTTCATTTGTTGGAGTTTCTTGTTTTTATTTTATGTGTGTGCTGGATATTAAACCCAGTGCCTGTCTCAAACAAATCAACTGTGTTACCACTTTGCTATACTCATAGACCTCTGAGGATACTTTTTAATTTTAAGTTTAAAAATGTAATGATGAAAAAATTTTAAATAGTTACCTCAAGTTCAAGAGGCCAAGGATATTGATATGACCTATTTAGATAGATGTGTTGAGTTGGTGGTAACTTGTAAGTATTGCTTTGGTTTTCTTTTGGTATTTTCAAATAGAACAATAAGCAGCTGAAATAACTATTACCACTAATGGGATATTATCAGAATGTCAGTTAGTACCAAGAACATATATAGTATTTTTATGTTAATTTTACTGAAACTAACATAAAGCATGTTGGGAAACTTGAATTTTTTAAAAAAAATGGATATGGACTAAGCATGTTAAGAGCCAGGCATGGTGAGACATGCAGGTAGGAGGCAGAGTAGAGGCAGGTGGATCTCTTGAGTTGAAAGCCAATCTGGTCTATGTTGTGGTCATCCCTGGCTACATAGTAAGACCCTAACTCAAACATCAAAAAGGTTCCAAAAAGTGACTAGGGAGTTGTTGAGATGGCTCAGCAAATAAACATTGTGAATAAACTTGATGACCGAGATTGATCTCTGGAGCTCAGAGGAGAGGAGAGAGCAGACCTCACACGTTGTCCTCTACATGCCCATGAGCAGACACATAAACAATGAGTGAATGTGAAGAGAATGGATAGTTAAGATTATGTATCCTCTTACGTAGTAGAATAAAATTTTCGTAAGAAAAAGGCTAAGCTTTCCTTGGAATTGTTCAGTAAGAAATAAAGTTTAGTGCTGGAGAGATGGCTCAGTGGCTAAGAGCACTGTCTGCTCTTCCAAAGGACCAGAGTTCAATTCCCAACACCCAGCTCCCAACTGTCTGTGACTCCAATTCCAGGAGATCTGACACCTTCACACTATTGCACATAAAATAAAAGTTAAATAAATTATATTTAAAAAAAAGTAAGAAAAGATGAAAAATTATTAAAAAAAAAAAAAAGAAAGAAAGAAAGTTTAAGGACTGAGGGGTAGAGAGTGATGTGATTGCCTAGCTTGGGCTAGGTCCTGCATCCTGTGTGCAGCCCTGCATAACAGATACATAAGGGTGATCATAAAATAGTGTGGTACGCTCTTGATAAGGGATTTATGGTTTTTATGTTAGAAACTAAAAATCTGATAATATGTATATGGTCAGGTCATAGTTCTCAGGCTTTGTCTTAGATCTGGCCTGTTTTGTATATATAACAATTTCTGGTCTTTTTTTTTTTTCCCTTAAACAAGATACGATTATCTACAATTATTTTATATCATCTATTTGTTTTCTGCAGTACTTATAATGAACTCATATTTGAGAAGCTATAATTTAAGCTTTATGGATTTGTTAGCCCTATTTCCAGGGAGTTGTTAAAAACATACATATATTTTGACTAAAGTGTTACCTTTGGGAACCATCTGATAAAAAAGTTTTCCTTTATAAATGTGGTTGTGCACAGCATTGATTCTAACACTCAGACAGAGACAGCTGGATCTCTAAAGTTCTAGGCCAGCCAGAGAGACATGACACTGTCTCAAATTGAAATTAATGGAAGTTTGAGAAAATTACGGGTTTTTGTTTTGTTTTGTTTTTGCTTTGGAAAAAAAAACACTTAGAATAGAAAACCAGCATCAGTGTTCCTAACATTTTTGCATGTGGTGACGCATGCCTATGTATATAACTCCAGCTCCTGGGAGGCCTAGGCCTGAGGGTCAGAAGTTCTGCAAGTTCTAGGCCAGTCTGGCTTACATGGGTCTGTTTCAAACAAACAGAATGCGTAAAATACCAGTAGTATTGAGAGATCTGAAAATTAATTTAAATACATTGTTAGGGCTCTATTCTCATGGTAAGCATTGTTTTGACAATCTTTTGTTTGGGCACTGGATTATTTTTGCTGTCTTAAAATACTTTTATTGGATTATAATTTTCAAAAAGACTGATTCAGCCACTTTCTCTGAATATACCCTGCATTAAAAGATTGAAGTGGATTTGTTTTTTGTTTGTTTGTTTGTTTGTTTTTTTTAGTGCTTTTTGTTACTGGTTTTGGGTGCTAGATACCAAACCTTAAGCATGCTAGGGAAGCAGTCTGCCCCTGAGCAATGCCCATAGCTCAAGAAGATTGAAATTATGTAGGAAAGAAAGTTACTTAAAAATCTTAAGAAAAAAAGTTGCTTTCAGTATATATAGTTGTGTTAATCATTTAGTAATAGTTTGGCATGTTACTGAAGTTTAGTGTTTAAATATTTAGGTATGAACTATTATTAACTTCAGAATTTTAAAGAGAGTAAATAATAGAGCAGTATTCTGGAGTCTTGGATTGCAAAGGTTTTTTTATTTAGTCAGAAAGTATAGACTCTGATACTCAAAACTACAATTTCTAAGTTTTGTAAGCCAAATCATCTCCAAGTAGTAAATAGTAGCCTAAGTTTTCCTATTGGCACTTTGATCAATTCTTTTCTTTTTTTCTCTCTCCCTTTGTCTCCTTCCTCCACCCCTGCCCCAGCTTTCTCTTTTTCTTTTTCTCTGTGTGTGTGTGTGTGTGTGTGTGTGTGTGTTGTGTGTTTCAGATACAGTTTCTCTGTGTAGCCTTGGCTGTCCTGGATTGTAGACTGGGCTGGCCACAAACTCAGAGTGATCCATTTGTCTCTGCCTCCCTGAGTCCTGGGATTAAAGTTGTGTGCAGTTGTGCCTGCCTTCTTTTCTTTTCCTTTTTTTTTTTTTTTTTTTTTTTTTTTTTAAAACGAGGTCTTATGTAGACCAGGCTGGCCAGAAACTCTGAGATCTTTCCCTGCCTCTGTCTCCCAAGCGCTGGGAATAAAGATACATGCCACCATGTCCCACTAAATACATTTTCTATTAATGGATTTTGGGAGAAGAATAAAGCATTAAATATTTGGTGTAATTTCCTAGATCTATTTTACTCACACTTCCTACCAAGAATCTTTGTCTATATTTGTCACTTTTGAAGACCAGATTTTCTGTATTACAAATGTTAAATTTTCGGATGGGAAGTAAATCAGTAAATAGATTTACTATAAATTAAAGTAATTGAGCTCTCTTATTTAAGTTGGAGGGAAAAAATGAGTCTATAGGAAGATATGTGTATTTGTCTTATGAAAGGTTGGTTTATTTTTTTAAAAAGTGTTGCAAATTGAGCTGAATTTGGAGGATATGTTTTTATTATAGGAAGTCTTTTTTGAGATTTTGAGATTTTTTTTTCCCCCTGGGGTTTCAAGACAGGGTTTCCCTGTGTAGTCTTGGCTGTCCTGGACTTGCTTTGTAGACCAGGCTGCCCTCAAACTCACAGAGATCCACCTACCTCTGCCTCCCTGAGTGCTGGGATTACAGGGGTGTGCCACTTCACCCAGCTTCTTTTTTGAGGATTTTTTTTTTAACTTACAAAAATATTTTTTATTCTTTTTGTTGTTATGTATACATTAAAAATTTTTTTTAAGACATTGGTTTTTCTATTTAGATAAGCCATCACAAAACTCAGAAAATGAACAAAATTCTGTTACCCTGGAAGTCCTGCTTGTGAAAGTTTGCCACAAAAAAAGAAAGGTAATGTATAAAATACTAATAGATGAAGTAAAATATTAGAACATGTTTCTGTATATCTCCTATATTGGTGAGTCAGTTTTAAAACCTCAGAAAGAAGTTTGTGAGGCTGGACATGGTGACACGCGCCTTTAGTCTCAGCAGCTGGAAGCAGGCAAACCAAGTCTGCACAGTGAGTCCCAGGCCTGCCAATTACATAGTGAGACCCTGTCTCAGAGAGGGCTGGGAGAGAAATACCTGTCACCGCCTGTCCTCATGTCCCAGGAAGAAGCCATGGTCTTAGGACAGATTCAGCTGCTTCTACTATTAGTATTGTAGGTTGTTGCTTAGCTACATTTGTATCCTTTTAAATAACGGCTAAGAGTTTTTCCCCAAATGATTATTTTCTATGTATTTGGTTTTAAGCTTAGCCCTTATTTGCTGAGTCATCTCTACAGTTCTAAAAGAGTACTATTTTTATAACACAATGAGGGAAAAAAAATTAACTGTCAGCATTATCAGCCATTAACTTATTAGTGAGCATTCTTGATTTTTTTATTTAGAAGATGAAATCATTGCATCATAGAAACAGCTGTCATAGTGGTTAAGTTTCCTGAGCAACCCACCAAAATCAACAGGTTATACTTTTAGTAGACTTAAGTCCTTGAGTCTTTTTATTAAAGGCAACAAAATTAACAGTGGCTATAATGGGAATATGTATTTCTTCCTAAAGAGAATGAGGATGTGTATACACATGCATGTCTCCAGTAAGCACGTGAGACGGTTTTATGTTGTTACCATTTTTCAGTTACAGTGCACATATGTATCATTACACTATAAACAGGGGTTGACCTATATAGAGCTCCTGTTGGTGATGCTCTTCCAGATGGTCTGAAAGTGATGAGGGACTTGAAAACTGCCTGAGCCCTAATAGGGAGCAGTCTGGCTGATACCCTTTGTAACATATATTAAAAAGTAAATTTAAAGTTAGGAAATACCACTAGTTATTCCTAAGTAAAGTAAACTTTTAAAATATATTATTTATGAGAAAAACTGTGTAGTTATAAGAGTTACGTTTCAGAAAAAAATAACACTCGTAAACATCTTCAAAGGACATACATACCCAATTTTTTTTTTTTTTTAAAGTAATTTGTGAAATGTAATGCTTAGGGTGTGGGGAAGCTTAGATTTCTCATGTAGAATAGAATTTTCTTCTAGTTTATAAGTACAGAGTTCTTTTTATTATCACTATCGTCGTCGTTATTGTTGTTATTTTAAATGTTTTAGGTATTATACTTGTGTGTGTATCTGTGCACTATGTATATGCCTGGTTCCCGAAGAGTCTAGTGGATAACATCCAATTCCCTAGAACTTGTGAGCCACCATGTAGGTGCTGGGAATCAAACCTGGGTCCTTGGAAGAGCAGCCAGTACTCTTTTTCTGCTTAGCCATCCCTCCAGCCCCAGTTGTATTTCTTTAAAAGAAGTTATTAAGTTGCCTGTGGAGGCACATGCCTATGTTCAATCCACAAGGAAGGTAAATCAGGAGTACCACAGCTTTGAGGCCACCTCGTATGCTGTTCTGTTTAAAAAATAGTTACCATGTAAGATGTATTTTTTCTTTTATATTCCGTATAATTACTTATGTAGTGACTTTTCCAGATGAATACTGTCTCTTCTGTCAAAGAGCATATAAGTGGATATGGATTTACTGTTTTGTAATGGTGCTTATGGATGTTTTCCCTTTCTGATAGTCCTGTTTGTATGGGTGTTTTCCCTTTCTGATAGTCCTGTTTGTTATGTCAAAAACAGAAAATTAAGGGGAATGTTGAAGTTAGGGGAGTTGAGTATTTTAAGCATGCCTTCTATTTTTTTCTTTTTAGGTTTTATTTATTACATATACAGTGTTAGGCCTGCATTTCGCCTGCAGGCCAAAAGAGGGCAGCAGATCTCATTAAAGAGGGTTGTGAGTCACCATGTAGTCTCTGGGAATTGAACTCAAAACCTTTGGAAGAGCAGCCAGTGCTCTTAACCTCTGAGCCATCTCTTCAGTCTTTTTTCTGTTTAATGAGAGAGTACTTGGTATTGAACCCCACGACTCTCTCATGCTCTACCACTGACCTTTATCACCATCCCCTTAATTGTTTTCTTTTTCTTGTATTTCCAGTTACTTTGTTTAGATTTTAGATTTTCTTTATTTTACATTTATTTTGAGGAATGGTCTTAAAATAGTCTGGGCTGCTCAAACTCACTACACAGTCCAAGATGAACTTCAGCCACCATGCTTATTGTTCCCATACTTGGGATTGAGCACAGCACTCGTGGTTTGTACATACAAGGGAAATTCTACCAACTGTACTATATCCCCAGTCTTGTTTTATTTGCTCTCTCTTTTTTTCTATTGCTTGTGGTTGAATCCAAAGCCTTGTACGTAGTAGGCAAGTGCTTTAATCACTCTTCTGTACTTCCAGGCCCCATATCTCTACTTCAGCGCATTTATTCCATCTTGCTAATATAAAACTTTGAAACAATTAGTTCAATACTGGATATACTAGGTCATTGTTTTCATTATATTGTAGTGATCTTCAGTTGCTTTATTATTGGGAATCTAAATGTTCATTTTTTAGTTTTGCTTCACAATTTTCAACGGTATGTTTAACATGCCATTTTGAGAATCGTGGCTTATACCGTGTTTTCTGTAGCTGTGACTTAAAGTTTTCAGTATGATTTGTTTTTGCATTAGTATAAATATAACTTGTGAATCTTTACTTTGCAGGATGTAAGTTGTCCAATAAGGCAAGTTCCTACTGGTAAAAAGCAGGTGCCTTTGAATCCTGACCTCAATCAAACAAAACCAGGAAATTTCCCATCCCTGGCAGTTTCCAGTAATGAATTTGAACCTAGTAACAGCCATATGGTGAAGTCTTACTCATTACTGTTTAGAGTAACTCGTCCAGGAAGAAGAGAATTTAATGGAATGATTAATGGAGAAACCAATGAAAATATTGGTAATTTCATTTCTGTAATTTCACTATATTTTATTATTGGAGCTTAAGGTAATCAGTGAAAATATATGAGTTAGTATTTCTTCAACATCGTGTGTAAAGTAGTCTTTTTTTTTTTTTTTTTTTTTAAAGTGTTGACTTTCTGTTTGGCATGGTGGTTTGTTCCTGTCATCCAGTGCTCAGAAATCTTAGTCAGTAGAACATGTGTTTGAAGCTAGCCTTGGCTACATAATGTAACAAGGCCCTGTCTCAAAAACAAATTAATAAGAAATTAAATAATGAACCCATAACACTTTGCTTCTTTCCAAAGTTTCAAGATTATTATTCTGTTGTTTTACTATACTGGAGATTGACCCAAAGCCTTCCTCATGCAACTTTGTTTAACCATAAGCTTCCCCTTTTTGTTTTCCTATCTGTTTGCCTGTCTTTTCTTCCTTTCCTCCCTGTGTCTTTCTTCCTCTCTTTATCTTTTTCTGTCTTTTCTTTGTTTTTATTTTTTTGAGAGAGGATTTTGTTATGTAGCCTTGGGTACCCTGTACTCAAACTCACAGAGATCTGCCTGCCTCTGCCTCCCTAATTGCTAGGATTACAGGCTTGTGCCACAGCTCCCAGCCTTTCTTTGTCTTACTTTCTTGCATAATTCCTTTTTATCTTGATATAGGGTCTCACCATTGCCTGGGCTGGTCTCAAACTGGACTCATGTGATCCTTTTAGCTCAGGTTTCAGAGTGCTGGGACTATAGGTGTATGCCGTTGCACTCTCTTGAACATGAGCAGTGTAATACATGTTGATATATGTATACATGTACATATAGTGATCCCTGTACCCATTCCTTTATTTGTCCAGCAGATCTGAATTCATCTTTGAGGTAATCATTCAGTTGATATGTAGGTGCTGTCAGCACAAAGATAATTAAACAATGCTATTCTCAAAAGGCTTACAACTTAATTTAGGAGAGAGATAAGGAATAAATAATTGCATTGAAATGAGCAGTTGTAGAATAGAGGTATATGTGAGATTACTGTTTGAAAGTTCTTATAAGGAGCTGGAGAGAGAGCTTAGTGGTTATGACTTGTTGCTCTTACAGAGGACCCAGGTTTGGTTCCTATCACCCATGTGGCAGTTAACTGTTACCCATAACTCCAATTCTAAAGGATCTGACACACTCTTTATTGGCTGTATGGTACTGTATGCACATGGTACACAAACATAAATGCAGGCAGAACCACTCATACTTAGAAAATAAAAACAAATCTCTCCTTTTTAAAAATAAAATCTTACAATGGAAATCTTGAGTAATGATAAGGAACCTGCATAGCATGAGTCATTCCAAACAAGTTGGCATTTGCAACTTGTTCCGATGGTCAGTTATGTTAGGAAGTGAGGGTAGACCCAGACCAAGTCAGGGAGATTAAAGTTGAGGCCAGCCAACATCTAAGCCATTTCAAGACCATATTGGGATATATTGTAAGGTCATACTGTAAAAAAAAGATGGATATGATACATGTTAAAAACCCAAAGTTGGGCTGGAGAGATGGATCAGTGGTTAAGAGCACTGTCTGCTCTTCCAAAAGACCCGGGGTCAATTCCCAGCATCCACATGGCAGCTCACAATTGTCTGTAACTCTAGTTGAAAGGAATCTGTCACCTTCACACTGATGCACATTAAATAAAGTTAAATAAATTATTTAAAAAAACCCCAAAGTTGAAACAAGTGAGTGAATAATAAAACATTATTGTAAAGTCAGGCAGTGATGGTGCACACCTTTTATCCTAGCACTCAGGAGGCTGAGGCAGGCAGAGTTCTTGTATTTGAGTTTGAGGTAATTTTTACCTATTTGGATAAACAGTGCATTTTACCTTAGAACCTTAAAAGGGACCATGAATCACAGATCACATACTTTTTTTTTTTTTAAGTAATTGTTTTTCAAAAAATTTATTTAATTCAGATGTCAGTGAAGAACTTCCAGCCAGAAGAAAACGAAACCGTGAAGATGGGGAAAAGACATTTGTTGCACAAATGACTGTGTTTGACAAAAACAGGTAATAATGATGGGCAAATAAAGTTTCTACAAATGTTTTTGTTCTGAAGCAGAATAATGGTGATATTGCTGTGTTTGTTTTCTTCTAATGGATGGAAAAAGAGATTTACAGAATTTTTCTGTATCTTATGGAGAGCAGTAAGCATAGAGAAACAGTGGCTCAATTAAACCTATTTAATTGAGTTTTTTGGTTTTTTTTTTTTTTTTTTTGAGTTTCTGCTCTTTGACAAACACTTTTAAATAGTGAGGAGGCACTAAATCCCTGTCTTCATGCTGCTTAACTTCTAATGTAGGCTGTATACAACTGCACATAAATCAGTAAGTGTTGTGAAGAAATTGGCAAATAAAGGGTGTTTATAGACGAGGTAGTAGTGTTTGAACAGAGGCCTAAATAAATGGGTCCTAGACAGATCTTAAGATAACTACTATGCTGATTGCTGGTCCTTAGCAATATAATTCAAGAAAATGTTTTTAAAGTCAGGTTTGATTGCGTGTAGGTCAGTGTGATCAGTTGGAAACAACTGGAGGGAAGGATGTAGCTCAGCCATAGAGTGTTAACCTACCATGCATATGCTCTGAGGTTTGATCCCTAATGCGGAGACTAAGACAGGTAGAACCACAGAAATATACTGGAAAGCGTTGCTGGGGTCTAGTGGCGAAATGCATTGAGATTCCTGCAGTAGGTGTTACAGATAGGTACTGATCCTGTGTTCTGTTCCCTGTTCCGCTAGAGGCATATTATGTTTAGTTTTTCATTCTTTGCACCATACATGCTAATGTACGTATATATGTTTTTTTATTTATTTTATTTGTTTTGTTTTTCAAGAGGATTTTTTTGTGTGGCCCTAACTATCTGGAACTGTCTATTTAGAACAGACTGGCCTAGAATCAAAAATCTGCTTGCCTCTGCCTCCCTAGTACTGGGATTAAAGGCATGTGCCCAGATAATTTATTTTGTGTTGCCTTTTCTTTTTCTCTTCCTTAATACATGCTGTAGATTCCTGTTTTTGTTTTAATGAAGAAGACTGCTAAGAAGAAAGTAGGTGAATTTTTGAAGTTTGAAATATTTGAAAATTTCTAAATATGTAGAATAGTTCAAAGAATAATTATATAGCATCCACACACCCTTTACCTTGATTTGTAACGTTTTATTTTATTTGCTTTCTTTATGTGTTTCATTTTTGTGCTGAAACAATGGAAAAATATATTTCATCTCTGCCTTGCTACACTTCAGCATGTATCTCCAAAGATCAAAGGCATTTCCTGATAGCCACTTACCTACACACAGCATAACTAACAATGTCTTTCCAGTTTACACTAAAAATGTCTTTTTGTTTTGTTTGCTGCAGTCTTACTGTTTATTTAGCCCAGACTAGTCTCAGACTCTTGATCTTCCTGCCTGAGCATCCCCATTGCTGGGAATTCAGGCAGGCAAGTGTCGTGTTTAGCTCCCCTCCAACCCCTTCTCCACCCCTTTAAATGATATTGATTTGGCTGTTGGCATGCTTTTTCCTTCCATCATTTCTCCATCACTTTTTTTTTTTATTGTTGTTTTTAAAAGAATTCTTAATTTAGGGGATTGTGTTTTGTGTGTATGTGGATTAGAAGATTATTTTTAGTGAGTTTGTTTTCCTCTGTTCATGTTGTTACTCATTTTACTGCTCAGATTAGCTCATTTTCACAGTAAGGAGTTCTTTCAAGCAAATTCCAGGATCTCTTTTACTTTTTAGGTTTTTCTTATTCAAGGTTTAAAATCTCCTTTTCCTAACTCTTCTCAGATTACCTATTCTTTGAGTAGTCCTGGTATTTAGTAAAGAAACCATATTCATGAACCACAATCTTGAGGTTAGATGTATCATCAATTATTTTCTTGTAATCTCACATTGTGGTCTTATAAAATAATAACCCAAATGTAAAAACCATATAGAGGAAGTTTGAAATACTGAGCAAAAGTAAACAACCTAATATTTTCAGGGAATAAAAGCTGTCATAACCAGAGTGAAACTATGATGTATATTTCAACTTCACTTAGCTCCTAAGAATGATTATGCTCTTACTCTGTTGGTTCTCTACTATGGGTCGAGACCCCTTTGCCGTCACATAGTAGATATCCTGCATATCAGATATTTACCTTAGGACTCAAGAGAATAGCAAAGTCACAGTTAAGAGGTAGCAACAGAATCATTTTATGGTTGGCGGGTCACCACAACTTGAGGAGCTGTGTTAAAGGGTAGAAGCTTAGGGAGGGTTAATACCTACAGAATAGTAAGGCGCTGTTCCTAGACTATTCCAGAACAATCTAATGCTTGCTTGAGTTTGGTATGCAATTCTTGGTTTTCCTTCCAGGCCTGAAAGCTACACCCACCGAGAAAAACATCCATTTTCACCTAAGGCCAAAGATGCCCTGAAGGCAGGGTGCAAAGGAGGGAGTAACCACTAAAAGCTAGGTGACCCAGCACCATTTTTTGAGATAAGGTCTTTTGTGTTGGAGGCTGGCTAGGCCCAGTTGTGGCCCTTGCCTTTAATCCCCAGCACTCTGGGAGGCAGAGGCAGGCAGATCTCTGTGAGTCTACTAAATTCCAGGACAACCAAGGCTACACAGAGAACTCCTGTCTAGAAAAAAAAAAATCACACACACAAAAAAAAAAAGAGGGCTGGAGAGATGCTTCAGCAGATAAGAGCCCTGAGATTTCATTGCTAGTCTCAAAAAAAAAAAAAAAAAAAAAAAAGTCGCAGATGGGGAAATAGCTTTGAAATATGTTGAAAGTTCATTTTTCTCTGATATAAAACTGTTGTGCAGTAGCTCTTCAGGACTGAAGAGCTAGGAAAGTGAAATAGATCTCCTGTGCTTGAGGAGACACTGTCTCAAGATAGTAATAGTAACAAAAATATCTCACATTCCAATGGAGGTAATTTTAAAGAGAATATGTGTGGGTTTTTTTCTTTCTTAATTTTATGTATACAGTGTTTTGTGCCTGTACACCTGCACACCAAAAGAGGGCACCAGATATCATTATAGATGGTTATGAGCCACCCTATGGTTGCTGGGAGTTCTCAGGACCTCTGGAAGAGCAACCAATGCTCTTAACCACTAAGCCATCTCTCCAGCACCCATACATGTGGTTCTTAAACAATTAAAAAGATAAGTAGTGCTTTATCAACTTTTTTGATTTTTTAATCTGATAAGTGAAAAAAAATGACATCTCAGTGTACTTTTAATTCAGATGTCCTGCTTTTTTATCTTTTTTGTAGATCAGGCTGACCTCGAATTCACAGAGATCTGCCTGTCTCTACCCCTCAAGTGCTGGGATTAAAAGCATGCAAATATGAAAGTAAGGATTACAGTTAAAAAACTGACATGCATACTTTGTACTGATTCCCTGTGGAAAGAATTTTAACACTATTGTCCTGATTTCAAAAGTGTGAAATCCGCACAGCCAATTTATACATAACGTATAAGGTTAGCTAGGTTTTGAGATAAGCATATTATATTTCAAAAGCTTAAAGTTATGTCTATGTAGCTGTAGTAATACCGTTTTCTATTTATATGGTTGTAGTTGCATTTTTTTTTTTTAATATTGCTTTTGTCAGACCTGGGATGTAGATAGTTTAAAATCCTGCTGTGTATGTAAGCTAGTATACCACTTTAATGCTGTTTAGTATAAATCTAGAATGTAGGCTTTGTCTTTATAATAATACACAGGTTTGTTTATAAAGTGTATGTGGGGAGGGTTAATACAGGGGAAGGGACCCTTGGGATGTAAAGTAAATAAACTAAAATTAAAAAAACAAAAATAAAGTTTATATGTTTGTCTGACAGGCGTTTACAGCTTTTAGATGGGGAATATGAAGTAGCCATGCAGGAAATGGAAGAATGTCCAATAAGCAAGAAGAGAGCAACATGGGAGACTATTCTTGATGGGAAGGTATGGATGACTTAGAGGTTGACTATACTGTAGTTGTCAACTCTTAACTTCGATTGATGTTTTCTTCCCCAAATGCAAATTGTATTTGAAATAAGGAGTCTTGGGTTGTTTTTTTTGTTGATTGTGTTACATTAATTAAGTACTTATTAATTAAGTACATTAATTAAGTATATAGCTTTCTGGCTTCCCCAGAACTTTTTGTAGACCATACTGGCCTCAAAGGCACAAAGATCCTCCTGCTTCCCAAATGCTGGGATTAAAGACATGCACCACCACACTCAACATAATTATTTATCTGCATACGATGGTATACTCAGCTCATCAGGTTTGGTGTGAAACGTATTTAAACAATTTTTTTATTTTTATGCACATTGGTGTTTTGCCTACATATGTATCAGTATGAAGATGTTACAGACAGCTGTGAACCGCCATGTGGTTACTGGGAATTGAACCTGGGTCGTCTGGAAGAGCAGTCAGTGCTCTTAACCGCTGAGCCATCTCACCAGTCCAGCGTCCTTTGGTTTTAATACTTGGAAAAATACGAGTAAAACAGCCTAGTCAGAATATGTAACAGAGGGCATTGTGATTCGGATTCTAGCTGTCTGATTGATAGCTCTGCTGTTGGATTTATGGTATTTGACAGATTAGCTCATTTGCCTTGTTTCTCTCTTCTGTAAAATGAGGCCTAGAATTGAGAGGTGACATATCGTCCAATTATGAAATATGTTTAGCATGTGCCTGCCAGTGCCTTACTTAATAAATACTATATACTATTTTAAATTGCATTCATAGTAACAGTAAGACTACTAATAAATTTATTGAGAATCTGCAAAAAACAGGTAAGTCATGTCCAATACAACTTCTAAGTTTTATAAAGTAAGCACACATTTCTCAGTGTGAAGTCTCAACAAAATAATAAAGTGTCATCATCAGTGTAGCCTAACAAGCAATATCTCAAGTGGTTGGGTTTTTTTTAGACTTAAAAATAGTCTCAAGTTGTTTTAGTAGGATATAATAGTAGTTTTAAATGTTTTAGTATATAAAAGTACTAAAGAAAGAATTGGAAGAATTTTCTAGACAGAATAAAACAAAAGTTCCAGAAGGTTTATGAATATAAATATAAAATTAAAACCTCACAACTTCAAGAAAAAATGTTGATCTGTGTTACTAAAAATTTGTGCTTAAGAAAGCGCTTCAGAGTAAAACGAATCCTTTCTGAATTGCAAAAATCTAAAAGAAATGGTGAGAGCTTGGCATGGACAAGTGATCTTGGCACTCAGGGAAGCAAAGGGAGGCAAATCACTGAGTTCAAGGTCAGTCTAGCCTATTAAATGAGTCCAGGACAACCAAATCTGCACAGAGAAATCCTGTCTCAAAAAACCAAAAAAAGAAAAGAAATAGAGGCTATATGTGGTGGCAGTTCTGTAATTTCATCACTCAGGAGCAGACAGGAAGATCATGAAGAGTAGCCTAGGTTATGTAGCAAGGTTTTGTCTCAAGAAAGTTCAACCTGGAGAGTCATCTTTTTTTGTTTGTTTGTTTTGTTATAAAAGAGCACCGCTCCTTTCTAGCAGACTCAGGTTCCAGTTACTACCTGGTGTCTCACAGCTTTTTAACTAATTCTAGGGGGATCTGACACCCTATTCTGGCTTCCTTAAGGACAAAGACATATGCAGGCAAAACAAGTCACTTTTTTTCCCCATGCATTGCCTTGGATAGTCTCACATGTTAGATAGGGCACTCTGCCAGACTGAGCTACACTCTCAGTCCTCTGTTTTGTGTGCTTGTGTGTGTTTTGTGCATGGTGTATGTGCACATCTGTGTTTTGAGGTCGTGCTGCATGTTTATGTGTGTGCAGTCTACAAAAACACCACAGCTGCCGAGTGCTGTAGCACACACCTGTAATTCCAGAATTAAGGGAGGCAGAGGCAGGCTGATCTCTGAGTTCGAGGCCAGCCTGGTCTAGAAAGTGAGTCCAGAACAGCCAAGGCTACACAGAGAAACCCTGTTCTGGAAAACAAAACAAAAACGATGACCTCAGCTATCCTACTTTATCATGCTCTGCCTTATTATCTTTATAGTAGGATTTCTAATTAATTGAAACTGGAGTTTTGCCGGTGCCCTGCAACTCCCAGCCATCTCCTGTCAGTACCCACAAAACAATGGGCTTACAAGGAAGCACGTGTTGTGGGAATCTGGGTCACCATGCTTGCTAGGGGGTCTCTATAGTAGCCATCCTACCAGCCAGCAAGTTTCAGACAGTGAAAACACCTAAAGGGTAGCCATTAAAAAAGAGATAATATTTGGTAAGATTTCGGGAAACCAGGCTGGCCTTGATCTTCATGCCTCTGCCTCCTAAATACTGGGATTAAAATTGTCCCCACCGCCGCCACCTGGCCTGGCAAGATTTCTTATTCTTTTATTTTATTTTTAATTTTATTGTTTTTTGTTTGTTTGTTTGTTTCTTTTTTTACAAATAACCTACATTTTCTAAAAATTAGTGATAGTGGGTTAACTCTAGGGGATGGGAATTAAGTTAATTTCAAATAATTTTTCTTTCTTTCTTTCTTTCTTTTTTTTTTTTTTTTTTTTTGAGACAGGATTTCTCTGTGTAACCTTGGCTGTCCTGTAATTCACCCTGTATACAAAGCTGGCCTGGAACTCACAGAGATCCGCCTGCCTCTGCTTCCCTGCGTAACTTTTTTTTTTTTAAGATTTATTTGTTTATTGTGTATACAATATTCTGTCTGCATACATGCCAACAGAGGGTACCAGATCTCATTATAGATGGTTATGAGCTATGATGTAGTTGCTGGGAATTGAACTCATGACCTCTGGAAGAGAAGCCAGTACTCTCAACCTCTGAACTAACTCTTCCCCTCCCCCCCTTACTTTTTATTTATCTTTTGAGTCAAGGTCTTACTGTATAGATCTGACTGACCTCAAACTGGGTGTGTAGACTACAGTGATCTTACAGAAATGCCCACCTGCCTCTGCTTCTTGAGTGGTGGGATTAAGGGTGCCATTTAGCCCACTTAATTTATAATTTCTGGTATATTATTTATTCATAAGAGCATGAGTAGAATTTCTAAGTAGAAAATGAAATTCAGGAATTTTTTTTTTCTAAGTACCCTTATCTAAGGGATCTAACACCCTCTTCTGGTTTCTGGAGTGTACCAGCCACACCTGGGATACACATGTATACGTGTAGGCAGAACACCCAGACACATAAAAGAAAGACAATTGAAAATTTTTATTGTTATAAATATGGGTGCCTTGCTTGTTTGTAAATTAATTTTATAAAGAAGACTTTAAGGGCCTAGAGAGATTGCTCAGTTGTTTAAGAGCATTAACTGGTCTTCCAGAGAACCCTGGTGCACAATTGAGGTGCTCACAGCCATTTGTAACTCCATTTCCAGGGCATCTGACATGTCTCTGTTCAAAGGGCACTGATGTCCACATACCCACATATAATTAAATATATTAAAAACTTTTTGAGAAAAATAAAAGTCATTCTTTCAGATTATTTGTTTTCTAAGAATGAAAATCAGGGAAAGCAGCTAAGATGCTGTAGCAGAAGGAACTTTCTTATCCTTGGAGAGGGAGGGAGGAAGGAAGGATGAATGGACCTGGTCATTCCACAAGAGCAATGAAAGGAAGGGTAAATAGAACAAATTGCAGGAGCAAAAATAATCATACCTCAGAAAGAATGGGGGTTTCTGTTTTTGTCTGTCTCTGTTTTTCTAGACATGGTTCATCTGTGTAGCCTTGGAACTCACCCACCCTGTAGACATGCCAGGTCTTGAATTCAAAAGATCCACCTGCCTCTGCCTCCCAAGTGCTAGGATTAAAGGTGTGATAAACTACTGCCAGTCAAAGGTTACATGAATACAGTCAGTGGCAATATGTAAAGCAATTGGAGAAGTAATGCAGAGGTGACCTTCCTCGACATTGTATTGTATTAGGGTGTGTCTTTATATATTCAGTTGTTAATTGCTCAACCGGCTGTGAGCTGAATGCTAACAGATTCTACTATTGTCATTGCTATTGAGGAATCTCCTGTCTTAAAGTTGTGTAAAAAAAGTACTCCTGTTTGGCTTTTAATGAATTGAATAGCCTATGGCTGGGCAGAGGAGACAGAAGGTAGGCGGGATTTCTGATCCCAGTCTGGGGTTTCCAGGTAGGGGAGGTGGGGGAGAGGACAGGAGAAGGGCAGTAGAGGAGGACAAAGATGGAGCAGAGGCAGCCAGAGCGAGACCAGAGGACAGGTAACAAACAGTATGCCGCTGGGAAGTAGGCAAGGCTAGCATAGATGGGTTAAAATGTCAGTATCTGCCCAGTTATGGTTATGGTGCTTACGGGTTATTAGTAAATGTAACTAATACATTTATTTCTGTCTTATGTGGGATCTAGAGCAGGCTTAGAAAAAGCATTTAATTCAACAAAGTGAGATTAGAGTTCAGATACTAAATAAGAGACAGTCATTCTAACAGATGAATTAGTGAAGGATAGGTGTGAAATTGAAACAAATGGCAAAATGTGAGTGAAGGCCTATGAAGACCCAGGATAGAGTTGTCTTATTAGGTGATTTGGGGAAACAGCAGACAGCTGAGATAATTTCTCATCCCCAAACCAAGGGTGCACAAGCAAACATGTCAGGAGCTGTAAGAGAAATGACTACTTGTTAATCTGCTGGGGTGATAGGTTAGGTCACCTGAGATTGTGCTTTGCTGGCCATTAGGCTTTGGGTGTCAGTAGTGCTTTGCTTTGTTTGATTTTTGTTGTTTTTCTGACACAAGAGACATGGTTTCACTATCCAGCTCTGGCTGTTCTAGAACTCGCTCTGTAGATCATTTTGCCTCAAACTCAGATCTACCTGCCTCTATTCTCAGCCTTGTTTTGCTTTATCTTTGAAAAATTGTAATCCAAGAGATAAATTTGTTTTCTGCATCTTGAGAAATCCAAGCCTAGTTCCACTATTGAGGAATCTCAGACAGAAAGATGGTGAGTTCTGGGTCAGCCTAAGCTGCATAATACAACTGTATTATCAAGAGAAAGAAAAATTTGGTAATGGTTGTCCCTTTCATTCCGGTACGAACTAGGGAGACAGACCCACAGGTGGGTTTCAGAGTTCAGGGCTACACACAAAGAAACAAGGTCTGGAATAACAAAATAAACAAACAAACAAACAAACAAAAAACCCTGTTCTAGCAATATCTTTGAAGTCAATCGTAACTCTTTCCTATTTTTTATTTATTTATTGTTTAGAGGCTGCCTCCATTTGAAACATTTTCTCAGGGACCTACATTGCAATTCACTCTTCGTTGGACTGGAGAAACCAATGATAAGTCTACAGCTCCTGTTGCCAAGCCTCTTGCCACAAGAAATTCAGAGAGCCTTCATCAGGAAAATAAGCCTGGTTCAGTAAAACCTGCACAAACTATTGGTAAAAACACCATTGCTGCCAAAGTACTATTTTCAATGTTTTAGGCTTTACAGTAACTCAGTTGTATTTTGTTGTGCATAATTAGTCTGGAAATGTCTTATTAATTACCCATATTATTTATTGGTTGTGGTTAGTGTTTGCCTATGGTAAATGCAAAGCTTTGTTAAAAAATACTAACAGTCCCTTGTTCCTAGAATCTTTGTGACAGATATTTTTGGGAATTTGACCTTGTCTTTAACATTTCAGAAGTATGGTGTATAGTATGTTTACCATCGTCAGGTGGGTCTGGAAATAACCCTGTGTCAGTTTAGAGCACATTTTCCCACTGATTTGCCACAGATAAAGTGATTGGTTTTCAATGCATTTTGAAAATGTAAAGCATTGGTTTGCATAGAGTATTTGCTTAGTATGCCCAAGGCCTTGGGTTCCATCCCCAGTACTGCTACTCCTGGTACAGGTAGAATAAGAACTCTGCAGTATTGAGTTCTAGCTTAAGATATTTTAAATCTGTCTCATAAGAATACTGCTTTGAACTTTAGAACATCTAGGTGCCTGTTTGAAGAGGGAAATTTGACTTTGACATTGTGTGATCATGTGAAACTGATTCGAAGTGACCTGTTGTAGATGCCTTTAATCTCAGCACTTGGGAGGTTCGAGGCCTCACAGGGCTTATAGAGAGACCCTGTCTGTTTGCTATGCAAGCCTGACACCATGAACTGATTCCCAAACCCCACATGGTAGAAAGATAGAACAGAGTTCTGAAACTGGCAAAGAAATACAGGGAGACTAAAACAAAACTTCATGACAATATTACATGTGCAATCATTAGTTTTGTTACACACTAAATAATTACATTAGTTAAATATTTTCCATTAAGTCTGAAGAAATATACTAGCCTTTTTAAGAATGATTATTTTATGATTTTTTTATTTTTATATTTTTTTAAACAGCTTTCCAGCTGGTCATGGTGGTGCTTCCCTTTAATCCTAGCACTCAGGTCGGCAGAAGCAGGTGGATCCCTCTGAGTTCAAGGCCAGCTTGGTCTACAAGACAGCCAAGCCTACACCCTGTTCAGAAAAACAAACATACAATCAGCTTTTCCTCTCTAAGCCAGCTCTTAGGGGATGACTGGTGTCTAATAACTATTAAACCATCAAAACCATGGTCAGGCCTAGGTTTATAGTCAGTGACTGCCATGTGGAAGGCAGCTCAGCCACAGCACCACCTAAACAAAAACACCTGTGACCTGTGTACTTAAACACTTGTGCTGATCACATTGGAGGGTCTTTAATTTAAGAGGAGGAGTTCTTTGGAGGTTTATGGGATTTTTTTTTTTTTTAAACGGAAAAAAAAGATGAATTCTTGATGGGCGGTGGTGCCACATGCCTTGGAGTTCTTGGGAAGCAGAGGGAGGTGGATCTCCAAGTTCAAGGCTACCTGGTCTATGAAGTGAATTCCAATACAGCCAGGGTTACCCAGAAACCCTGTCTTGGAAGAAAAGAAAAATATGTGTTCTCAATACAGACTGGTATCTGATTAATGATCAAGTATTAAATAATTTTTTCCTAATATACCTTTCATTATCAGTTGATGTTAAGAACAAAAATATTGAGCATCACTATTATAAATATTTAATAATTTTATTTAATAATTTAATTATAAATCTTTAATAATTTTGGCAAGTTACTTTATAGAAGGGAGTTTTTCATCAAATAAACAGGTATATATTTTCAGCTGTTAAGGAGACACTGACTACAGAGCTGCAAACAAGAAAAGAAAAGGATACTTCAAATGAAAATCGCCAGAAATTAAGAATATTTTATCAGGTAAACACAACTGACTGGTCCATGAAATACTTTCTTTTTGTATGTTGTATTTGAAATATTTTTCACATGTTAAATTAGAGGTGATAATGAACCTTCTTAGAAATGTTGCAAGTTGTGAGCTTGACGCTTTTTGTATTTTAGTTTCTTTATAACAATAATACAAGACAGCAGACAGAAGCCAGAGATGATCTGCACTGCCCGTGGTGCACTCTGAACTGCCGGAAGCTGTATAGTTTGCTCAAGCATCTAAAACTCTGCCACAGCAGATTTATCTTCAATTATGTAGTAAGTTTATTATTTTTGTTTACCAATAATACATGTCTCCTCTAGACCAACCCTAGATAAAGTGTACTCTGCATGTAAATAGAAGTTCTGCTGGGCTTACAGTGGGTGATTCAGTTCATTGTGTTCATTTTGAATAATAATATGTGCATGTATCATATTTCCTGAATATAATTAAGGGGAAATTTCTTCTTGATTAAGAAAGAAATGGCTTATACAAAATCACCAGACCAGCGGATCGTGGTGGTGCGCACCTTCATTCAATCCCAGTATTGGGGTTGAATGCCTGGTCTACAAAGTAAGTTCCAGGACAGCCAGGCCAGTTATATGGAGACACCCTGTCTCAATAAACCAAAGATAAATAGATAAATAAATCACCAGATCAATAAATGAGACTTTTAGGACTTTTCTTTTGTGTGCATTGTCTTCAAGTATGCTTTTCCATCAAGTTAATAATGCTTGCCTAATTTTCGTTTTCAAAACATTAAGCACCTATAACTGTATTTTAGTTAAATTGAAAGAATAGGATGATATTTTCTCTTTCTAAACACCCTGTTTTTGTTTTGTTTTTATAGTATCATCCAAAAGGTGCTAGGATAGATGTTTCTATCAATGAGTGTTATGATGGCTCCTATGCAGGAAATCCTCAGGATATTCATCGCCAGCCCGGATTTGCTTTTAGTCGAAATGGACCAGTAAAGAGAACACCTATCACACACATTCTTGTATGCAGGTAGTTAGAAAGCTTATGTTCTGTCTTTTATTTTTTATTGGTGTGTGTGTGTGTGTGTGTGTGTGTGTGTGTGTGTGTGTGTGTGTGTGTGTTTATGGCATGTTCCCTACTTTTATTGATACTGGAATAACAAAGGGGATTCAGAAAAGGCTAGCATTTCAGATTAGTCTCTGAAGTTGTGTGCCTTCCCAAATCCTGTTGATACTGGGGTTTGCTTTGCTTTGAACTTTATCAAGTTTTATTGTTGATACATTGCGGTGTGCATGCTAGACAACACTATAGATGCAGCCATTTTCCCCCGAAGGATTGAATCAATACACACACACATATGCATGCACGTGTTGTGTATCTGTGTGTGTGTGTGTGTGTGTGTGTGTGTGTGTGTGTGTGTGTATACACACACGTACACTTACAGAGAGAGAAACTTTTTTTTCCTTCTAGGATTTTTCAAGGTTTGGTTTCAGTGTAGCCCTGGTTGGCTTCGAGCCCAGAGAGCAGTCTGCCTCTGCCTCCCAAATGCTAGGATTAAGTGTATGTGTGCCAACAATCCAGACTGGTACCTAGCCACTCCTATATTGATTTGTGGACTTAAAAGAATACTCCACATAGGTGCTGGAGAGATGGCTGGATTGTTAGAATTCCTTTATAGTGCAGAAGACTCAGGTCTGTATGCATGTATACATAGGATACATACCTGCTAAAAGGATGCACTGGATAGTGTGAAATATGAGTGATTCTGTCCCCATCATCTAATGTCTTGTATGATGCAGTCCCGAGAGAGCTGATTATTCCTCCTTACCTTGAGTTTTATAAACATGCAATAATGGTGAATTTACAGCAGCAGATTTGACTGCTGATCTCAGAGTTTCATCGTCATAAACTCTTAATAGCCAGAATTTTTGGCTAGATGTGTATCTGTAACCTGGCTTTCCACTTTGTTTATATGTATATTGGGCTGAAGAAATGACTTAGCCAGTAAAGGCTGGGCTCACAACCAAAGTAATATATTATATACTATAGTAAACATGTCTGATGTATAAAAAGTTATCTTTGAGACAATTCTGCTATGTTGTCCACTGGCATTTTTGTATATATATACTATATGTATGTGGCTGTCCCAAGAAATCAGAAAGGGTGTCAGATCCCCTGAAGCTGGAAATACAGGAAGATGTGATCTACCCCATGTGGTGTTGGGAACTGATCTCAGATCATCTTGCAAGCACACACAACCACTGACCATTTCTTCACCTCCCTCAAATGTTTTTTTGTTTTGTTTTTGTTGTTGGCCTTTTGTTTTTGAGAAAGGGTTTCTTTCCTAGCCCTGGCTGTTTTGGAACTCACTGTGTAGATCTTGAACTCACATAGAGATCCACCTTCCTCTACAGAGTGCTAGGGTTAAATGCTTGACCCACCACGCCTGTTCTTGAATATTTATCGTTTTTTCCTAATATACATTCTTGTTTATTTGTTTTTTGAGACAAGATTGCTCTATGTAGCCTGGCTGTCCTGGAACTTTCTGTGTAGACCAGGCCAGCCTTCAATCTGGAGATCCACCTCCCCTATCCTTGTATCCTTTAAACTCTTTTTAAGCTCATTTTTAACTTTATGAGTTTTTTATACCCAGGAATACAGTTTTGTCTTCAAAACTTTAATATGTGGGACTAAGGGTATAGATCCGGCTTTGATTTCAAGTTCTTGGAGTGGAAATTGTGTTGTGTTGATTTTACCGTTATATATTAGGGGGAAAGCAGTATAAAGGGGTACTGTCTCAAGTACTATTATGATCTTTGTTTTACAAAATAGCATTTAATGCTACAGATCTTGGCTCATGTTCAGTGTCTTATGGGTATAGAAGTTGTCTTGTTTCAGCAGTGATTTCTTTTCATTAGGCCAAAACGAACAAAAGCAAGCATGTCGGAGTTTCTTGAATCTGAAGATGGAGAAGTAGAACAGCAAAGAACATACAGTAGTGGCCACAATCGTCTTTATTTCCACAGTGACACCTGCTTACCTCTTCGGCCACAAGAAATGGAAGTAGATAGTGAAGATGAAAAAGATCCAGAGTGGCTGAGAGAAAAAACCATTACTGTAATTACCACTGTTTTTCTTGTCCCTGGCAGGGTTCAAATAAGTTTTATAACTATCTTTTAAGTAGTTATTTAAGTAAGGAAAAATCTTTCTTTTTTGTTTGAGTTTGTATTGGATACTTTCATTTCTATTTTTATTATATTAATATTATTATTTATCTTTATTTCATTAAAATAAAAAGAGAAGTGCTTAAGTAAAAGCTGCTTTTATTACTCTGGCAGCTTAGGTGGGTGTTCTTCTAAATGTGAAGATAGCCTGGTTTACAGAGGCAGTTCAAGACAGCCAGGGTTGTGTAGAGAGACCGTGTCTTTGGAAGGAAAGAAAATGTTTATTTTTTAGCTCCAAAAGATTGTACTTTGACAGTCTGTTTTTCTTACAAATGGTGCATACATTACATATGTAGTATGTATTTTTCTTTCAGCAAATTGAAGAATTTTCTGATGTGAATGAAGGAGAGAAAGAAGTAATGAAACTGTGGAATCTCCATGTCATGAAGCATGGGTAGAGTGTTTCTGTTCCATTATTTCGTTCTTTTTGCTGCTTCTCGTTCTATGCGTCTGTACAAACTTTTTAGTTACTATTTTATGTGTATGGATGCTTTGCCTGTGTGTATGTCTTTGCATCTTCTGTGTGTCCAGTGCCTCCAGAAGACAAATACGCTTTCTCACCCGCAGATCTAGAGTTAGATAGGTGGTTGTAAGCTGCTTTGTGAGTATTGGGGATTGAACCTGGGTCCTCTGCAAGAACAAAAATTGCTCTCAACAACTGAGACGTCTCTCTGGCACCCACCTTGAGACAGTTTATTTGTGCCTCATGTAGTTTAGGCTAGCTTTCAACTCTCTGTGTAGCTAAGGATGACCTTTAATCCTATTTCCATGCTAAGATTATAGTCGTGTAATGCCAGTGCAGCTGACTCAGCTGTGAGTGTGTGGCATATGCAGCACTGCTCGTGTGGAGATCTTTTGGGAATCTGCTCCTAGCCAAAGGGTCAAAGAACATGGCACAAGTGCTTTTCCACCAAGCTGTCTTATTCCCCCTTTACCTTTTGAATAGACAAGATTTGTTTGTTTGAGACAGCATCTCTGCAGAGCCCTAGCTGTCCCCAGACTCACAAAGATTTGCCTGCCTTAGCTTACCGAGTACTGGGATTAAAGATGTGCACCACACCATCAAACTGTGATTGTTTTTTAACGTATATAGTTCACTGCAAAGATTTCAGAGGGTGTAGTTGATAATGATTGTGAATCACCTGACAGAATTTTATTTAAACTATTTATATGTGTTGCCTAAACATTTCCCTTATCCAAAAATATGTGTTTGAATTAGCTAGTGATGCTTCCCACACAGTGAACTGCATGATTTTTTAAAGGGTTTTGAGATTCTTTTAAGTATTTACATATGTGGGGGATTGTTTTCATTTTGTTGTTTTTGTATTTATGGTATGTGTGTGTCTTATCTGTGAATGTGGGTGTGTAATGTTTTTTAACTGTAGAAGCCAAAAGACTTTGATCCCTCCCTCCATCCTGTTGATTCATCATCCCGCATAGCTGTAGTTATGGGCATGTGCAACCATCCTTGATTTTTTTTTTTTTTTTTTTATTGCCAGTGACTACAAAAATATGTGATGTCCTTTACAATTATGAAAGTTAGGTGGGGTTGCTCGCCACTCAAGCCTGACCAAAACATGCACATATACAATACTGAAAATTATTTATAAAAAAGAAATGATGAAGGACTGGAGAAATGGCTCAGTAGTTAAAAAATGAGCGTCCAGGTTCAATTCCTATCACCCACACAATTGTCTGTCATTCTAGACACGTGGTACACTGACACACATGCAAGCAAAATGTCCATATGCATTTAAAAAGTTTGCATTAAGTATTTTTCTTTTTTCTCCCTTGATAAGCCCATTTTTAGGATGGAAATTAAATGTTTTAGCTAGATGCTTACTTTCCATGTACAGGGCATCATTGCTCACATCACAGACTGATTTTAGTCAAATTTCATTTGTTTAATTTTCTGATCCAGATACTTAAGTGTGATAGTTACTGAGGTTTATTTTTAAGGCTCCTGTCTTAACATCTATTTAGATCAAGTTTAAGTTGTAAATACCTGGCTCACTAGTGGCCGAAATGTCATTTCTCACTCTTACTGTTTGCTAAGCTTGGGTGTGTTTGTCATGTTACACATTGCTTATCTCTGTTTTCACAGAGAATCTATGTCATTATTAATGCTTTGTTTTTCTTGAATAGATTTATTGCTGACAATCAAATGAATCATGCCTGTATGCTGTTTGTAGAAAATTATGGACAGAAAATAATTAAGAAGAATTTATGTCGAAACTTCATGCTTCATCTAGTCAGCATGCATGACTTTAATCTTATTAGTATAATGTCAATAGACAAAGCTGTCACCAAGCTTCGGGAAATGCAGCAAAAACTAGAAAAAGGAGAATCTGCCACCCCTGCAAATGAAGAAATAACTGAGGAACAAAATGGGACAGCAAATGGATTCAGTGAAACTAACTCAAAAGAGAAAGCTGTGGAAACAGATGGTGTCTCAGGGGTTCCAAAACAGAACAAGAAACAAAAACTCTGATCCCATGTTGGACAGACACTGAAATTACTTCTAGGGAATTCAGCCTTTAGGAAGAGTTTTGGTTCTAGGTTGTTTGGTTTTTTAATCATGGATTTGGAATAAGGAAGAGTTTTGGTTCTAGGTTGTTTGGTTTTAAATCATGGATTTGGAATAAGGAAGAGTTTTGGTTCTAGGTTGTTTGGTTTTTAATCATGGGTTTTGAACAGGCAGTGTTAGATGAAGTCATTGATTTCAGTGCAGAGGTTATGGGTCTGCTTCACTTCATTCTCACATTTATCAGCTTTAGTGATGTCATCAATTTGTTTTGAACCTGAAAAACAGTACTTCACAGATTTTTTTTTTTTTTTTTTTTTAGGTGCAACAGTCATTTTTTAAAATATATTGAGTTAATCTAGAAATTTCACACCTAAAATTTAAATTTGTGACTGGCTATTTTTCTGCTCTGTAATTATGAGACATTTTCTGGGCAGGGAAGGTTGGGATGTTACACCCTTTTAAAAGGTGGAGAATTTTTGTGAAATTGTTACAACACTGCCACTTTCCTCAGACTTTGACCCTTGATTCAGAAACCATTAATGCATTTGGAATGAAAAGTTACAAAGCAAGTTCTGTATCAGTTCCTGTTGCGAGTTTAAAATAGTACCTACTCATCTTCTGCCTGTTGGAGAGGTTAATTCTCCATGTGGACCATGCAGTGTCACATAACATTGAGGTTACCGTTTTTTAATGCTTGTTTACCTAACATATGTTTTGACTTGAACATGTTTTAGTTTTTCTTTCTTAACTAGGTAATCCCATGGGAAGTCATTCTGTGCACTTCTTTGCATTAGGATTATAAAGCAAGAGAAACAGTTGGAGATTTTGTAAGATGCCATTTTGGGGTGGAAGGTGTCCTTGAAAATGAACCAGAAGATGTTACACCATGTTTTCTTTGTGATCTATATTCATGATTAGAATATCCATGCAGATAAGCTGACTTGAATTGTTTTGAGCAATTTTCCCTGTGTTGTGTGTTTTACGCACATATTTGCGGTTGGGTTTTCTCCAACAAAGTGGTTTCACTACTGGCGTATTAATAAGCACCAATAGGTTTTTATTCCAACTCCAAGCACTGTGGTTGAATAACATCACCTCAATTTTTTTATTATCCTTTAAAGATAATGCATTTTCATATTCTTTATTTATAAAGGATCAATGCTGCTGTAAATACTGGTATTTTAATGTTTTAATTTCATTCCACCACCATCAGATGCAGTTCCCTATTTTTGCTTAGTGAAGGGACAGAAGCTTTCTCATGGTGTCTTCAGAGGTTTATAAATGTAAATACTGATTTGGCTGGTCTTTATGATGTGTTTAACTGTGAGGCTATTTAAATAGTGTGGATGTGATTTGTCATCCAGTATTAAGTTCTTAGTTACTGGTTTTTGTGTTTAAAAAATAGCAAAGAGGGAAACTGCAGTTTTCTTTGCAGACTCTCTGACTGGTAAACTCTACTCATGAGTTCGCTGAACTCTCATTTTGCCGCTGGGTAGTGGGTTCTAAACATTTCTGTTGGGCTTTAATTTGCTAAAGCTGTGCATATATGTAAAAAACAAATAGATTATTTTAGGGAAGATGTAGGTGTAGAATTATTGCTTATGTCATTTCTTAAGCAGTTATGCTCTTAATGCTTAAAAGAAGGCTAGCATTGTTTGCACAAAAATTGGTGATTTCCTTCCCCCCGAATAGTAATGAAATTACTTCTGTTGAGTAAACTTTTTATGTCATCTTATAATAAAAGCTAAAAATGCCCTTTGTTTCTATTTATAAAAAAAAAAAAAAGCTTTTCTATATGTACCCTTGATAACAGATTTTGAAGAAATCATGTAAGATGATAAAGCATTTGAATGGTACAATAGATGTAAAAAAAATTTCAGTTTAAAAGAAACGTTTGTTTTTACATTAAATGTTTATTTGAAATCAAATGATTTTGTACATAAAGTTCAATAATATAAAGCTGTATTCTGCTTTTCTTTCACAGTCTGCATTGTTAGTGTGCATTTCAGCTTTTGCTTAGATGGCTTGCTTAGGAAGGTTCTTGAAAAGTATACTAATTTCATGAAATATCCACTAGGAAATGAAAAAAACAAAAATGAAGCCACTTTCAACACTCATGGGTGATATGCTGTCATTCATAGTGAATCTGTATGTGCTGTGTGTGGCCTTGAACTGGAGCCTTGCCTGAGCCATTCAAAAGTGCCCTGTTCTGAGTTAATATAGAAAATTGTTAGCGCCACCCCCCCCCCCTTTTAAGGATCATAGTTCAGAGCAAAGCCAGTCGATCAAACTGGCGTTTTTATTGTGTGTATTTGTATGTTTTGAGACAGGTTTTTTTGTTTGTTTTTTCCAAGGCAGTCCCACCCAAGACAGCCTAGTGTGTGGAGGTCATGAAGCTGAGCAAACAACTTGCAGAGTGCTTCCCTAGCCTAGCACGCACGCTTTACTCAGTGGTCAGTACAACATACACAGCTGGTGGTACAAACCTGTAATCCCAGTACTTAGGTGGAAGGAGGATTAGGAATTCAAAACTACCATTGGCTGCATATTAAATTCAAGATCTCAAGAAATAAAAAGAAACTAAAGTCTTGAAGATGCTAGATGTCCATATACCAAGAGACCTAACTATGTCCCGTACCTTTAAACTTTTATCAACCAGCAAAAATGTACAATTTAAAACAGTCGTTTTGTGCCACTGTGTCAGGATAACTTGTGAGAGTCCACCATAGGAGACCCTTGAGTCAGATGGAACTCAGCCCATCACAGTTTACTTGCATCATGACCCGATGTGTGTAATTGTAAATAAATGTTCTAGTCCTAAATGTATAAAAGGAACAAAATCTACCGTCTACAGAGTATCTTAGAAAAGAACACAAGAAAAGCAAGATGGGTATGCTGATAAAGTATATTCTTTTAAATAAACTTTGATTTAAATACAACAACAAATAATTTCCTATGGAAATGTATTTGCTTTAGAACAAGTTACTAGTTAGTTTTTTAAAAGGAAAAAGGTGAAGTACATCTCCATAGAGAAAATTCCTGCCGGCCTTCATTTTTCTCCCTACTCCCCTGCAATCTCTTCCAACACAAGGAAGGAGAGAGAGAGGGAGTGGGGCCACAGTTCTCTTAGCTGCTTCCTATTGGTCAGGTCATTGGGTTTCTTTTCATTTCACAACAGCAACCAGGAAGCAGCCTTGTTCTTTATCCTCACTGTCTAGGCTCTGGCATTTATTCTCTGCAGAGTCCTCAGATTTAAGCCATCTGGCAAAGAGCTCCCCTCTACTGAGCTAATATCAGTTGTCCAGAAGTCCAGATAATCAGTGAATAAGCAAACGGCAAATGCAGCAACGGGAGGAACCAGCAGCAAGCAGCCGATCCTTCTTCCTCGGGGATGTCAATTTCTACTACTCAAAGTCCTCAGACTTCAACTAATTCCACCTGGCAAAGACCGCACTCGGCACGAGACACTTAACAGGTGTGGACAAACTAAAATCCCCAACCTGGAATATTAACAAAGACATGTTTACATAGCATAAACCAAAACGTCCACAGCTACAGCTGTCACTGTAGTTCACTGCTGTAGATAACAGGAAACCTCACTTCTCTCTCGGATCTAGTCACTCGTATTTAACAGGAATGCTTATCCCATACCACACAGCAAACCCTCAGGCCTACTTTTTTCTTTGTCTCCACATTGTAAATTTTTATATTACAATCAGGGTAGGAGGGATGACTCAGCAGTTAAGAATACTTGTTGTTCTTACAGAGAGCTGGAATTTGGTTCCCTGCCCACAGCAGGCTCAAAACTCCCTGTAACTCTCCTGGGAATCTGGTGACTTCTTCTGGCCTTTGTGCGTACTATGCTCCCATACAGACACTCACACACAGATACACACATTTAAAAAAATTTTTTTTTTTTTTTAAAGAATGCTAATTGGCTAGGGACTTCAGAACACAAAATCAATCCACGGGGCAGAGGGTATTCCTTCTCTCCTAATCTTTATTCCAAACAATACTGAAGAAAGACTGAAGTCCACTCTCTGGCTAAGTCAAGAAAGAGGCAGCTCTAGCTGCTGCTCTAACTCTAGCCAAACATACTATACTATTCTGGAAGAAATGGCCACGATTAAGACATGCACAGTGTCAGGCTCTGAAAAACCAAGTCACCCAAACGGGCAGTCACAAGAGTCCAGCAAAGCATGAATTTTATTTGACAGGTCAGGGACAACAGCACAGACTCAGGAGCTGATTGCGTCTTTGAAAGTACATCTTAGTGTTTAAGCATTTGACAAATTTTTATAGTATTCAAGCCACTACTGATCGATCAGTGCCACCTAACAGGTTCAGGAGCTGAACTGCAACCACTGTACAGCATTGTACAGCACTGTACAGAAACTGTACAGCATTTTTAAAGGATGGAATCGTAAAGCGAGGGGAAGTGGGCCAGGCTGTACCATTTTCCAATCATTTCTGACGCAAGTGGTGAGCAAAAAAGATAAGTGACTGGGCTTTATCTGGGTCACCTGGTTTCAGGGCTCTTGAGTCAGCTTTTGCAGTCAGGTCCCTTCCTGGACTTCCTGCCCAGAATTCAGAATGATAAGGAAAAGAGTGGACAAGCTGCACAAAGTCAATTAAGTCATGACAGGCAACTTTTACACATTTACAACTTGTGTGCCTCAGCTTTGATAATCAGCAACTTCCCTCTTTACATTCTTTACTGGTTAACAGACAAACGTGAACTATCTGAAGAAGCAGGATAAATGGAGCGGGTTCTGGAGCCTGGGAACATGAACTCTTTTGACACTGCCAGCAAGGTGGAGGTTTTTCCTGAGACCGCTGGACTCGGGCAACTGCCTCCTAACACACACTGGGAAAAGGTTTTTGAAAAACAAGGAGTTCAAAGAAAAAAAAACACTGTAAGGAGTTTGAGATGCTGTTACTGTGGATTATCTGGGCGGGTCCTAAGACCATAAGAGACAGAAGGGACATCTGAGATGGCTCAGTGGTGACTTGAGTTCAATCCCCAGGACCCACTTCCTCAAGCCTTCTGGCCTCCAAACAGATATGACATGGCATATATATGTGCGGCAGGAAAGCAGGCAGCATGCATGTATACACACCAGATCTAATATGGTCTAGAGTCTCATAAATAAATTGTCCATTTGCTTTTTGCTTGTTTGCGTCCATGTAAATGTGTGTATATGTGTACATGTGGGAAAAAGTGGACGATCAGGTATTTTCCTCAGCCACCTTCTACTTTATTTACTTAGAGCCATGATCTTAGCTGAACTAAGCTCCCTGACCTGGATTGACTGGCTGGCCAGTGAGCTCTAGGAATCCTTTCTGTCTCTACAATGCTGTAGTAGCCAGGTGCCACCATGCCTGGCCTTTGCACAGTGCTAAGAATTGAACACAGTCCCTCATGCTTGTGTGGCAAGCACTTTCCAACTGAGCCTCTCTAGCCCTCTGTTGATTTTAGACAGGGTGCGGCTAAGAACCCAGGCTGGCTCGGCCTCCGGTGCTGTGGGATCCTATCACCAAGGTCAGCCAAATGTCCACATTTCAGTAGAAACTCACTTTTTATATCAACATTTAGAAAGAGCTCACACTGAATAAAAGACAACAAACACTCAAACGTGTGTGAGTGGACATATGCCTGGACTCTCTTGACCTTACTATTGTCTTTTTGTGTGTACCTTTTCTGAAAATTAAAAAAAAAAAAAAAGATTTATTTATTGTGTACCATGTTAATGTCAGCACGTATACCTGCGCACCAGAAGAGGGCATCAGGTATCATTATAGATAGTTGTGAGCCACCATATGATTGCTGGGAATTGAACTCAGGACCTCTGGAAGAATACTGCTGAGCCATCTCTCCAGCCCCTGTTCTGAAATTTTTGTTGTTTGTTCAAAGCAGAGTTGGAATTATTTAAGATATTTTATTAGGATGGGCACAATAATGCACTCCTTTAATCCCAGCACTCAGGGAGGCAGAGGCAGGCATCTGCTATGAGTTCAAGGCAAGCCTGGTCTACAAAGCCAGTTACAGGCAGTCAAGGCTACGCAGGGAAACCCTGCATCAGAAAACAAAAACAATAAAGGTATTTTCTTATTTTCATGGGTAGGAATGTTTTGACTATCTAGTATGTGTCCGTGCACCATGAGCAAGGCTCCTGCCCAAGGAGGCCAGCAGAGGGTGTTGTAGCTCCTGGAACTGGAGGTACAGATGGTTGTGAGCTGCCATGAGGGTTGCTGGGAATTGAATCCAGCCTCTGGAAGAGCAGCCACTGCTCTTAACTACTCAGCTCACTCTCCAGCCCCGAACATATTTTAATACAGAGTGTGACTATAAGGATTAACGGAGGAGAGAGGGGCACGCAGAGGAGGCACAGACTGGAGCCTCACGGGGGCTTCTCTAAGACAAGATCACTCAGTATTGCTTATTTTCTCCTGTATTCACAGCAACCATGACCTTCACACATTCCTCTGAGTGAACTCAGACACGTGGAGGTCAGAGGACAACCTTTGACGTCAGTCCCAACATACACCTTGCTAGAGGCTGGGTATCCCAGGCAGGCTGGCCTTGGATGCCTTCTGGAAATCTGAAATCAGGTCATTGCTCAGGAAGCATGTGTTTGCCAAGCCAGCTCCCCTGTAACAACACGGCTTTTCTATGTTCTATGTCTTGGCAGATCACTGAACCCAAGGGTTAGCCTACTTTCTTGTTTTTTTTTTGTGTGTGTGTTTGTATCAACATGTTCACAAATGAAGGTGTCCACGGAGGTCAGAAGAGTGGGTTGGGCCTCCTGGAACTGGAGTTACAGTTAGTCATGAGCTGACTGACTTGCCTGATGGGAACTGAACTCATGTCCTCTG